TGCTTTACTCTGAAGGACAGGTGGCCGAAGTCCTCAGGGTGGCCATGCACTGCCCACAGTGTACAATGAAGGGCCAGCAGTTCACAGCGGGGAGACCAGACTAGAGTCCAGCCAGGGGGGTCACGGCGACAGAATGTGCACTTGACGTGACGTGTTGTCCTGTCCCTGAAAACGATACCCTGGTCTCACCAGAAGAAACACACAGACGGATTCCACCTCACAACACCTGACCAGAACTCAACACTGTCAATGTCCTCAATCAGGAAGAGTCTAAGGGCCCTGAGCAGTGTGCAGCGCAGGTCCTGGTGGGCTCCTGGGGGAGGAAGCGGGCCTCGGTGTGAACCTCAGGACCCCTGGAGGAAGCCTGGCCGTCATTAACAGGGACATGCGGATGGGGCTCACACACGGTTAGAGATACGACCTCACACCCATGAGAGCCGCCGGGGAGCCGTGAGCAGAGCGCAGGGATGCATGAACTCTGCTCGGGCTGTTTATTTTTCTGTGTATCTGAAACTATTTTAAGCAATAATGTCTATTAATAAAAGCAAAACAAAATCTCCTGGACTACTGTGTATAACCAACACTATTGGAACCTAAACACATGAACTGAAAGTTGAGAAAGGCCGGGGGACCAGGAGTTGGCGTAATAGCTACGTTGCTGGATTCTCATGCTGTAGTTGACCGTGGTTCCAGTCCAGGACCCAGTGGCTTAAACTCACACCAGGCACATGTGAGTGTGTGCCCAAGATCCCGAGAGGAGAATGGAGGAGCAGGGACTGCGGCATGGCCATCCCCTCTGGGAGGTGATTTCTCGCTTCCTGTCTTTCTACCTGGTGAGCGCATGCACCCTCTACTAAAAACCTCTCAAAAAAAAAAAAAAAAAAAGAAAGAAAGAAAACAAAAGATTGGCATGGTGGCTAAGGTACTATACTCCCACAGACTGTGGCTCAATTCCCAGACCTGGCAGCTTGCTTTCTCACTTTCTCTCTGTCTCCCTCTGGTCAAATTAAAACATAAATAATATGACAAATAAAAGAAAAATTTTTAAAGAATTATTTTATTTAACTCTATTATGATTTTCCAGTTTGATCAGATGGGGAGTGGGGGAGTGAGAAAGCAAGCCTCCAGGTACAGGACTTGAACCACAGCCTGCCATGTGGGAGTCCAGCGCCTTTAACCACCACACCACCTGCTGGACCCAACTAATGAAATGAAATAAATAAATCTTAAAAACAACAAAACAAAGATCAAGGGGCCGACCCTGGAGCCTACGAGTTTAGTGACCTGGGTTCCACATGGCCAACGTGGTGCAAATGCCAGCCCTGGCAGCCTAAAACCACACCAGGCACACATGTGCGAGCAAGAATCTCCAACAGGACAGGCAACGGGGGAGGTGACCGTGCTGTGGACACGTCGCACTGACTCTGCGTTCTCACTCTATTTCTCTCTCTCTCTGGTGAGTGAATGTGCTCTCTGGCAAGTAAAATAAACAAATAAATAAATAAAATAAAAGTTAAGATTTTCAGTTGGGCCGGCAGGTGGTATCGGAGTTAAGGCACCGGATGCCCACATGGCTGACTATGGTTCAAGTCCTGAACCTGGCAACTTGCTCTCTCAATATCCCTCTCTCTTTCTCTTGGGTCAAATTGAAGAACACTGACAAAGTAAAATAACTAAATCTTAAAAAATAAAAAAATTATAAGATAAAGTTTTTTTGAAATTTCTGAAATTAATTTTGCTAGTTGAAGACTAATCAATGAAAACCTCTCACCTGGAGAACGTGCTCAATAGAGGCGCACAGTCACCAGAGTCTAGTAAAGAGTGGCACGAGAGGCCAGGTGGGCCAGCCCACAGGGGTCAGGCGGCTGGACCCACACGGCCGATGACAGTCTCTGCTCCGAGCGGCCTGAAAACACACACGGAGCATGTGCACGTGCCCCTCAAGTCCCAAGAGGAGGGAGGAAGGCAGAGAACTGTGACGTGGCCGCATGCCTCCCGGGAGCCTGTGCTCTGGCACGAGGGAAGGGCGGTATCTTCACGAACGACACGGGCGCAGCCTTCCCTCTTTCCAACCAACGGAAAGGTTTCGACTGCAGTTAGTCAAAGCAGACCGTGCTTTCGGAGCTCACAGGGACGACGGGCTGCACAGCGCAGAACGCCTGGGTGGGGAACCGGTGCCGGCAGACCTGCCCGACCCAGTGCTCCGTGGTGCTGGGGGTGGGCTGCGGGTGGTGGCATGACAAGGCCCTGGGACTGGCTTTCTCCTGCACGCCTGTGTGTTCTTTCTAATGACCACGGGGAAGGCTGGACACATGGCAACTCGTGCTCACTGAAGGATGACTGGGTTTGTACACGGGCCAGCAGCGGTGTGGGACTGCCACCGCTCATCCTCTGTGCTAAGGAGAGCGCGGGCCAGCGCAGTGTGGACGGCAGCGGAAAACCTGGGTAACTCGAATCCACCAATAACACCCACACTGCATGTTACCAGTTTATCTATCAGTTTTTTCTTTACAACAAATGGGAAAAATTGGTAACTTGATGGCTAACTTCTGCCTTAATTTCTACCCTGCACAAAAGTTAAAATACAATTAGATAGGCTGATATTTCAACTAGAAAAAGGTAGAAAACATTATTTAAGCTATTTATTCAAATAGGTTCTCCAATATGGGAGAGTTGAGGCTGATCCCATGACTACAACATTGAAAACCATAAATTTTACACTCATGTTCCGGGGCCGGAATGCCTGGCTTGTACCCGACGTCAGGGCTAACTGCCTTCGTGGTTCTGGGCAGCTCCCGCGGCTCTTCCATGCTGCGGGCCCCACAGTCCTCCCTCCCAGCTGCTGTGAAGGTGATATGAGGGACACTGCACGGCTCACAAGGCCTGGGGCACAGCACACACTTGCCATCACAGCAAAGTGAAAGGGACCGGCGAGCTGAGTCAAAGGGACAAACGCGATGACAGGCACCCATTAGGACACGGTCAGGGCTGCAGGCAGGGCAGCTGTTAGAGCAGCTGGACCCACCGGGCCGCTCAGGGCCTTGAGCAGCACACGGGCACAGGTGGAGAATGGAGAGGAACGATGGTAACATCCCCTAGGGAGTGATTTCTCCCTCTGTCCCTCTCCAGTGGACACATATAGCTTATGTCAAATTCTTTTAAAACAAAAGGGGGAAAAGAGAGAAAAGCGAGTGGTTAGAAAATTTTAAGGGAGGGGCAGCTGGTGGCCTGGTGGTTAAGGTGGCTGGATCCCACATGGCTCATCACGGAGCTCGAGTCCTTGACATGCTGGCCTGAAGACCACAGAGCCCACAATCCTAAGGGAGGAAGAAATAGAGAAGGGGCTGCACTGTGACCAGCCCTTGGGTGGGAGCTTCTCTCTGGGTCATCATCCGGGTAAAAAAACAAGTTTAAGGGCTATTTTCATAAACTGTTTACAGGAAAGGGTCTTCATAAACCCCAAAGAGGAAGTCCCTCTTGCTTTACAAAGGCAGAAGTAAGTGCAGCCATCAGGTCTCCACAATCGAAGGTACAGTTCTCCCGGGCACGGGGGTTACCAGCCCTGCCCCCCGGTGACCTGGTGTAGTCGGCAGGGATATGCTGTTTAGGAGGGACCTGCCTAGCAGACTGTGGCTGGACCTAAGGGCCTGGCAACCCAGGGGAAGTAGAGAAGACAGCCAAGGTCATGCTACTGAGGTTTCGCCTCCCCAGTGCCTTCCCATTTTAGAAAGAAAGAGATGAGGACAAACAAAAAAAGGAAGTTAAGGTTAAAAAGGGGAAGACTGGGGACCAGCAGTTGGTGTAATGGCTATGTCACTGGACTCCCACGTAGTTGACTGCAGTTCGAGTCCTAGACCTGGTGGCTTAAACTCACGCCGGGCACGTGTGTGTGCGCGTGTGTGTATGCCCAAGATCCTGAGAGGAGAATGGAGGAGAAGGGATTGCGGCATGGCCATCCCCCTGGGTGGTGATTTCTCGCTTTCTGTCTCTCTGTCTCTTTCTGTCTTCCTGGCGCATGCATGTGCCCTATAGCAAAACAAAACAAAACAAAAACAAAAACCTCTCCCAAAAAAGGGGGGGAGGGGGTGGCTCAGTAAACAACAGGAGAGAAATGTAGCTTAGAGCAAGGTCATAGGAACACACTGACCAGTTCCGACCTCCCGGGACCAAGCAGGTCTCAATCATTTAACTGAGAATGGTTGAAACAGAAAAATCTAAATCTTTCATCTACTGGGTTGTTAGAAAAGTGAAGCATTTATGGACAGAAAAAATACATCATGACTTTTCGGACAACCCAACATATAAAACCCGTTCTCGCTGCCGAAGTCCGTATCTAAAGTGCACCTCCGCAGTCCTGGCCACGCGCACCCCTCTGCGTCCGTTTTGCAAGGAGCAAGAGTAAGGAGCTGAGTGTGACCGGGAGAAGGGTGCTGCTCCCCACGGGAGCTGGCGGCTCGCACAGAGCAGGGGTGCGGTGCTGCCATGCAGAGGCCCTCCCGTCGGGTCTTCCTTCCTGACGACCTTGCTCGGCTCTCCGTCTCGTGGGAAGGACAGCTGTTCAGAGTACAGGCTCTAGTGCTACGCTTGTCATTCCAAATCAGGGATGAACTTCTGAGCAAGAGACACTCCAGTCCCGTGGAGGGTGCAGGCATGTGGCATGCACGGCGGGCGCAGCACACGGCTCACACAGGGGTCAGCACGTCCAGCCCAGGGAGCCTGCTGCTCGCTCACAGGACACAGAGCCCCCAAGAGGACGCGAACAAAAGCACAGCCGACTTCCGGACACAACATGCATGGGGCAGCTCCGATGCCATCGGCCAGTCGCGTTCAAAGGCCACACGCCTCCTCAGCTCTGGTCTGCCCAACACCAAAGCATGCATAAATGCAAGGGCCGTCCCGTCCGAGGGCAGAGCACGGAGCTCCTGTCTTGCCCAACTTATCTGGAGATACAGGCAGACAAGACAGTGGTAACACTTCACACACACACCATGCCTATTTACCTGGACTGGGGTAAGAGTAATGTGCTGGGCTGGGCTGGCTTGTGGTGAGCCCTGAAGTGCAGGTAAGAACACTGTGTTGACTTGGAGATGGAGTCTGAATTAAACCACTGTCAGGTTTCATACCTGGCCACAACGCACCTGAATCAGATAAATCGGACCAATTACAAACAGCACATGGGGACTGAGGAGCACAGCTATGCTTCTGCTTACCAGCCAGTGGGTTTAAAATCTAACTCTTACAATAAAATATATTCATGTGTAAGAGAAATTTATTGATTCTCCTTCTTATAATCTACAATAAGCAAATATACTTGGAAAGAATTAGGTAGGGGAAGGGGCGGCAGACACAATAACCCTGCCCAGATCCCTGTGGTACACATGTGAGCTCATTTCGACGGTTGGGGGCGGGACTGGGGCTCACGGAGAGCCACCGACACCCAAGTGGAGACTAACGTGTACAGCGCCAGCTGCTCCTGGGCACTGACTGATCATTGCCCCGCACTGGCCAGCGAGAGGCATTCTACCAAGTTTCAAATTCACTTACCCGGTAAACAAACACAACATCTCCTCAAACGTATTCAATAATCCTCTACCCGGGCCAGCAGGTGGTACGGTAGTTAAGGCACTGGATTCCCAAGTGGCCAACTGCAGTTCTAGTCGCAGACCTGGTAGCTTGAAAATCATGCCGGGCTTGTGAGTGTGCGTGCGTGTGTATATGCACGCCCCAAATCCCAAGAGAATGGAGAAGAAGAAAGTACAGAGGGGCCGTTCCTCCTGGGGTGATGTCTTACTTGTCCTCTCTCTGGACAGCACACGCACCCTACAGCAAAAACCTAAAAACCTAAATGGAGGAGAAGGGATTGCTGCGTGGCCATCCCCCAGGGGAGATTTCTCGCTTTCTGTCTGTCTCTGTCTTTCTGGCAAGCACACACGCCCTATAGCAAAAAAGGAAAGAAAATAGTCTACCTTTTCCTCATCTACCCAACACACAGATTGCCATCCTTGAGGAGACTGAGGGCCACAGTGGCCCGGGCGAGAATGATGGAGTGAGTCAGCGTCTGTTAAAGGCGCTGCTGCTCCCACGTCCCAGGGACTTGCAGATTTCTGCATTCGAAATGCTTTCTTTGGCATCTAATATGTGGACGTGTTTGTTATCGCAATGTGCCAAACAAAATAGTGTCAGTAATAGCAGCAACGAGGAATGCTTCAGGAGCCTCAGTCCTTTCTGTGCCATCACTGCTTCCCGCAGGAGCCAAAGCCTGAGGGTGCTCGCGCCGAGCCCTTGCCTGCCCAGCCACCCACGTACCCCAGGCACCTGGGCCGGCACTGTGACAGCGGGAAGGCACCTGCCGTGCTCGGCAGACGTGTAACCCATTTCCTTGGGGATGTCTTCAATCTGGGGCTGGTCACATCTGCAGGACCTGGGCACAGGAGGGGCCGACTGTGCTCTTCCCAGGTACAAACTACGAAGTTTCTATAAACCGGTCCCTTTCACAGGTAAAAATCAGCATGCACATGTCCAAGATTAGCACCACAGCCAGTTTTGAACATAAAGTGTGTATTTAATACATAATTATTTCATGAGGAGGAAAAGGCAACACGGCCCCTGCCTCCAGGACTGACACAGCCCTGCTCTCCGGCGTGCAAGTACCTTCCTCGAACGCCCCTCGGAGGCCGAGGCAGTAACAGGCAGCGTGACCAGCGGACTGACTGCCATACTGCACGCAGAAGCCAGGGCTCCACATCCAGGTTTTCTGGCTCCTCATCCAGGAATCCGTGCCTTCAAGCTTTGGAAAGGCTCTTAAGCACCACGTGCCCCTACTGTTCTCCCTGTTGGTCCTGCGGGGAAGGAGCCTGTTCCTAAATTCTCCCTCCTGCCCCACAGGACGGTCTTATCACAGACAACCCACGGTTTCAGCACAAATACTTCACCAGTGGTCAGTGGCTAATCGATGACCTCATCAGTTCATAGTGACACATCAGAGCAGTGGACCTTTACTGACCCCAAGTACTGAGTACAGAGGTTGCTATGTGCCATAGAAAATCAGAAAAATACGAGAAGGCAAAGCCTACAGTCTTGCCACATGGGCCGCGCCTGCAGAGCCGCACTGCCGAGCCCCTGCCTCCTACCCAGCCACTCCCGGCACGTGCTGCTTCACTACAGGGTTAGTGCCACCTCGCGCTGACGGCCCAGCACCTAGAAGCATGGACCAGAAAGAAGCACCCTGGCTGTGCAATTTGCCTGCGTTTTGGAATATCTGCACACATTTAACGAAGGGCAGGAGCAAGGGGCCCCAGACTAGCCATAAATTAACCTGTGTTTCACAGACACCTGTAGCCACAATCTGAAGGTAACTCTCTACAACGCTTCTGTACTGTAGCGTGTGGAATGTGAGTGTCAGTGCCGCGACTCCTGGTGGCCATGAGTCAGCATCTGTTACACATTGCTGCTTCCATGTCACAGGAACTCCCAGATCACTGCACTCGACGCGATTTCTTTCTCCAAGCAGGTTTTGAGCCTGAGGTGTCAAATCTGTGACATACTTATTATTGCTACAGACTAAGACAAAATCTTATTAGTAATAACAGCATCCACAGCGGTGACCTGTCCCTGATGTCACACGTGCAATTTTCTTCATGTGTATCATGTTGGTGCTCATAGTTGACCATGGTTCGAGTCCCGGATCCAGTGGCTTAAACTCACGCTGGGTGCATGTGCATGCATGCCCAAGATCCTGAAAGGAGGCTGGAGGAGAAGGGATTATGGCGGGGCCATTCCTCCTAGGGGGGTGATTTCTCACTTTCTGTCTTTCTGGTGAGCACATGCACCCTAGAGCAAACAAAAAAACAACAACAACAACAACAAAAAAAAACAAAAAAAAACAAACTCTCTCTCAAAAAAAAAGTATTATTCAATTTTATTTATTCATTCTTTTATTTCAGTTTGACTAGAGAAAAAGACACAGACAGAGAGACAAAGGCCAAGAGAGAAAGAAAGCAAGCCACCAGATCTAGGACATGAACCATGGTTGGCCATGTGGGAGACCAGTGTCTTAACCACTATGCCACCTGCTGGTCCCATAAAGTTCTTTTTTATAATTAAACATAAATTTCCTAGGGACCAGCAGTTAGCATCATGGCTATGTCGCTGGACTCC